ATCAGGGTTAACCAAAACAAATATAGGTTCATCAAAAATATGGAATGTACCTGTTAAAATCTTCGGGTCATCCGTTCCTCATTATTCTTAATATTATAAATTCGGGCTACTCCCCGTGTCTCTTGTCGCGGGATTGACTCAGATTGTCCTCTGAATCTACCTCTTCCTCTGCTTCTATTAGATGCTGCTACTGATCTCTCAGTCTGCACTGATTTATCCCCAGATCTTTTAGGACAACTTTGAGCATAGTATCCAGTTTCACCATAGTGGAAACAAGCACCACTGAGCAATCTACATACTCCATGGTGAAATTTGCCACACGTCTGATATAGAGTAGTTCTTTCTCCAAATGCTCTACCCGAGCTAACAGCCAAAGACTGTGATTGTTTATTCTTTTGCGAAGCTGTAGAGGAACCATCTCTATTATTGTATAGAGAACTCGAACCATTGCCTCTCTTAGCATGATAGGAAGTTAAAAACATTCCAACTCTTTTTCCCGTCTGCATACCCTACTCTGCGGCTAGAGTATCCTCTTGAGCTCTTTCGATTGCTTTAGCTCGTTTTATGACTTCTTGCAGTCTAAGCAAGTTTAAAACCAACATCATCTCTTTCAACTTAGGCCTCAATCATTCGATAAACCAATCACGTCGAGATTTTTCATTGGGAACTAATTCAGTAGCAAAACGACTCAGCTTGTTATACTCAGCCTCGTACTCATATATTGCTCGATCACCTTGTTTCAGATTAAGAAACTTCAGCAGCATCGCCCTCCTAAACTGCTTACTAATGTACTTGTTCTCAAATTCATCTTAAAAGAACTGTCAGGTCACTTGCTCAGGTGGTGCATACATTGTAGTGTTTGTCCACCACACTCGAGTTGATCCTCGAAGTAAAGATACAGCTCCGCCCAGCTTTTCAAAATCTTAGCAGTTAAGACTTTCAAGCATCACCTTAATGCCGTTTAATCATAAATCAGTATCTATAGGACCTTCATCCTCTTCTTCCTGGAACTCATGTGCTCCCAAACTTTTCAGCTCTTTTGGGATTAACATCCGTGGTACTGGAGGAGTAGGGGGAGGCGGGGGAGGTTGAAATCGAGTCAAGATTGCATCAAGAGCCTGCATAAAAGCTCTAAACTCTGGCACTGGCATACCCTGATATACCAGTGCACTAGCGTTTTCAGACTAGATCGGATGCTCACTATTAGCTTCATTGCTCTCGCTACCCGACCATTCTCTAATTTCTTGTTCAGTTGCTCTCCGCGAATTCACATATTCTGACATCTAATAGAACATATATAATAATAACAACTCAAGTTAGTAAGGAGTGACATCAATCATATTTTAACGACACTATATCAATAACTTTGACATCTTAGTGGCATGTAAACCCTTTTAAAAGTAAAATACACCCAGTTTCGGTTGAGAATCGGCTAAACCTATAGCTATGATACCAATAAATGTAACACACATTTCCTATATATATCACCGTACACGAGCCACAGATGCCACATGACTTTTAAAATCATTTTTATTTTTGAAAACCAATAAAATTTTGTTTCTATACATAAAACATTTTAATGTAATAATAATAAAACGTTCATTAACTTTTTGTATATAAAATAGTCTTAAAGTTCTAACATATTAAATATTACAATCATCATAAGTCAAATACATTCAGAGCATTATCTTAAGTCTATTACATGTCATCTAATAATATCAAAAGTAGACATAATTGTCATACAGTTACTGATAAGGCAACATTTGATTTACGATTTCAGCTGCACTCCTTACTCCACTCGTACTAATACTTACGCGTGAAATCAACACATGTTAAGTATTCACTTAGTGAGGCATAATAATATAAATGAGGTGTAACCAAAACATAAGTGTATCATAAAATATCAAAATACGAATTAAATCGTATAAATCATAATAATACTTAAAATTGGCTTGGTAAACCAAGTTTTTTTCACATAACCTATGAAACTATATTTAGTATGCCCAACATACCTATCAATTCGTATTTTTCTAAATTATCCTTTTATTTGCCCAATGTATGTTGAATGAGAATGCAAGGTACATGAGTTGCACCTAAGTGCCTAAATGGTAATTCACAAACTCATTATGAATTCCATGGATGCACACATAGTGTCGAAATGGTCATTCATAAACTCATTATGAATACCATGGGTGCACACATAGTACCGAAAGTACTCATAGTACTGATACAAAAATGCAACATATGCATTAAACAAAATTGATCGATAACTATCATACTAAAAGTATGTCGAAATGCACCTATGACTATCAATACACATACAATAGGCCTTTAAATCAAATTCGCAGATTAAACATTTATTCTGAAACATCTATAGTTGTTAAAACAACATAAAAGTTCATCCAACTATTTTGAGTTGTTCATACTCTAAAATTATTTGTAAATCATTTTCATAAACTTTATGAATATATTTCAAAATACTGTAAAACATGCTTTTATAAAAAAGTTCGAGGTTGATTCATCATAAGTCATCCTCATATCATATAAGTACATAATAAATGCACTCACCTGGTATGCCTCAATATTATGCCCTAATATAGTCCGACTATTCTGCGACTTTATCCTTGCCTTTCTGTTTGCTTGACTCAGAAATTTGATTATGATCTACCCAAGAATCCATAAACACACATACATTATAAAATACAAATGTTATTATACTTTCTAACATTTATACAAAATAATAATACTCAAAAATATTATTATTTTCGAATTCTAATAAAATTCATCCTAACTTAAATTTTCAGACTAAATAGTATCGGTACCCCTTCTACAGTATCGATACTTCTCATCTATGGTACTGATACCTCTTCAGTTCGATATAATTTTTGCATTATGGAATCCATTTTTCAATTACAGTATCGATACCTTCCTCTTGGTATCGATACCTCTACATCAGTATCGATACTACTTTCATCAGTATCGATACTGTTCATCGTGTTCATACTCTTTCCTCCAATTTAACCTTATAGTATCGATACTGTTCTTTCAGTACTGATACCCTTACCCAGATTTTCCTTATTTTACTTCGATTTTTACCCAAATTTCACCTAAATCTCTTACTTTTACCTCCTACCATACCATTTAACTCATTATCACTTAACCCGACTAAGCTACATTCATAAATCTCCTTATAACATCCAAATTCTCCAAAGAACTCTTAAAACTAAAAATCACACCCAAAATTCAAACATGTTTTCAATTACTTCTAAGACTCCAAATCTCTTATCTGCATCTTTGACAAGTCAAATATGCTTTTAAACTCCAATAACTGACCATATTTCATCAAATCACTTAAAAACATATTTTATTAAATCATTAATAAATTACTAATCTCTTAGTTTTAATCATCTTTAAACTTTCCTTAAACTTCTATATCATTTAAGGCTTCAAAACCAACCCAAAAACAAAAGGAAAAACCAACTTGAAGAAATATTTATTTTGCTATGAAGGTACGGAGACGAGAAGACGAAGAAAATAGAGAATCAAAATTTTTAACATTATCTTTTTTTCTCCTCTTCATCCCTTAATACTAGAGGTGGGTATACGGGCTACCCGCCCGTTTAGTCTGTCGGTTTTGACGGAACGGACGGTTTAAAAAGCCCGCAATCATAAACAGTTTTGAATTTTAAGGCTCGTGGCCCGTCCGTTTAACCCGCGGGTTAAACGGGCTTATCCGCGGCCTGTTAAATAAAAATAATTTTAAATGTTTTAAATGCAATAAAAAATAATGTTATAACTTGCTACACCTTTAAAAATGATCCAGTAACTTGAAAAGAAAGGTAGCACCGTCAAAATAATAAATAATATTTAAATTTTATTTTAAATAGCCGAAAATGATTATAAAATAATATTTTTTTTAATTTTTTAATCATTAATATATATAACGATATAAATACTTAAACTCAAATTAAAAAAACAATATTCACTTATATCACCAAATTAAAAAATAAATAAAACAATAACCACATTATACTCTCATAAAACACGATTATTCAAGGCTATAATATGAAGACACATAAGTGTTTGCAAGCAGAAATTCAAACAGAAAAATTCAACAAAGTCAAACATTATACAAATTTAACAACTTTTCTTTTGTAAAAGTTTTTAAAAGTTAAAAAGTATGTTTTCAATTTTTTCTTTTACTTTTTTTATTATTTTTAATCCAAATATTACGTGTCATGTGATATATTATTAGAATATCACGTGATTTTTATAATTAAAGAACGAAACAAATAACATACTTCATGAAAAAAATAAAGGTCAAAATTAAATAAAAAAATCTTTAAATACCAAAGTGATAATGATATAAATTTTATAAGACTAAAATATTATATAAATCTTTTAACTTTTATTTTTTAAATGAAGAATAATTTGATACATTGTAAATGAAAAAAAAATATAAGCAACAATAGAATTATGAAAAATACCCTAATAAATTTAAGAACTACAATGATTATAAGTATCATCATATTTATAGGTAATTTATTTTCTTTTTCTATAAAATTCTTTAAGTTTATTTTATATAACATTTTATAAATTTTAAATTAAACGGACTTTTGTGGGCTACCAACGGTTATACCCATTAAACCCACGGATTTAACGGTCCGAACTAAAAAGTCTGCAATTTAAACGAACTTCAATTTTTAATGTCCAAAACCTACCAAACCGGATTAAACGAATAATCCGCGAGCCTTAACCTATATACCCACCTCTACTTAATACTTATCCCTAAAAGAATTAATGTTAAATTCATTTCCTTCTTAAAAACATAATACCCCTCCATTTCACAAAATTTAATGAGTTGTTCGAAATATACTTTTTAAAATTATTAATGGCTGCTTGAGAAGAACAAACTAAAATTCGACACGTACTAAAAGTCAACAAACCAGTGGACGAGAAGCAAAAGCCAACCCCAAATGTACCTCGTCTGGGTTTTCTACAATTGGGAAACTGATTTTTCGCCTATAAAACGGATCAAAAGCAGAACATCTTCATCACCATTTCTTCCACAACTCAAACAAAATCCCGTTACTTTGAAAGTTTTCTTGAGAATATGGCTATGAAACAAGTTGCTTGCTCTGCTATCAAAGCTGTGGCCAATTCTGGGTCATCCTCTGTTCTTACCCGACAACTCCATGTAAGCTAATCCATGTGCTTTTTTTTTAGCTCTTCATTTCTTGTTTCATATTAAGTTGAAATCTAGTTTGGGTTATTTGTTGTTAAGAACTTTAAGATTATTCCAAGTTTAGATTGATATTTTTCTGGTTAAATCAATGAGTAATTTAAGTGAATTTGATGACTGGAAATTGGGATCATCGAAAACGACGAAGGGCCTGGCTAGTTCCTTTGCATGCACTGGTGTGGCAAAGTGTGTCGTCTGGCTCAGTGTCACCTGTCATGGATTATTTAATTACTTTTTCATAAAATTCTTTATTCTTAATTAATAATATATTTTACAGGCGTGTATCATGAATTTAAATATTTTTTCAAGATTGATACGAATATCATGTTTTTTGCCCTACAAATCCATTTTCCAGTAGTGGTTTAAGTGCTGCTGTCATGTCATGTTTCTTACAGGTTTCTCCGGGGAGCAAAAAGATTGTTGGGGTGTTTTACAAGGCCAATGAGTACTTTACGAAGAATCCCAACTTCGTTGGTTGTGTGGAGGGAGCCTTGGGCTTGCGCCAGTGGCTCGAGTCACAGGGGCACCAGTATATCGTTACCGACGACAAAGATGGACCAGATTGCGGTAAGCATAAAGATCCCTACTATCCTTTTCCGATATGCGGTTAATGTGTTATCATTTGTCATCATCGAATGATGTCGCTGCCTCCATGATCTTGCATAGGGAAGTAAATTTCGTTGGTATAGTAAGAATGCTGAGTTTATAATTTAGAATGCCAGTGTTGTTAATACCAGTTCATTGCAATATGTTGTTACCATGATTCAAATGGTTAATCCATGGCATCCCTTGCTTGCTTTGATCTATTATTTGAACTTTAAAAAATAGTGAATTTCTGAAATTTTTTAATACAAGTTCGATTTTAATCAACCGTGTCCATATTGTAGAACTCGATAAGCATATCCCTGATCTCCATGTTCTCATATCCACCCCATTCCACCCGGCTTACGTTACGGCAGAGAGGATCAAGAAGGCCAAGAACTTGCAACTGCTGCTCACTGCAGGGATTGGCTCCGATCATGTTGATCTGAAAGCAGCAGCTGAAGCTGGTTTGACTGTTGCTGAGGTCACTGGAAGCAATGTTGTCTCGGTTGCTGAGGACGAGCTAATGAGAATTCTTATTCTCGTCCGAAATTTCTTACCCGGCCACCATCAAGTTATTTCTGGGGATTGGAATGTTGCAGGCATTGCTTACAGAGCTTATGATCTAGAAGGGAAGACAGTTGGAACTATAGGTGCAGGTCGTATTGGCAAGCTCTTACTCCAACGACTGAAACCATTCAACTGTAATCTACTATACCATGATAGACTCAAGATGGATCCGGAATTGGAGAAGCAAACCGGAGCTAAATTCGAGGAGGATCTTGACGCAATGCTTCCAAAATGTGACATCATTGTTGTAAACATGCCTCTTACTGAGAAAACAAGGTCTGTTTTCATTACATTTGCGACTGAATGCCCTAACTTACAGATTATCATTGGTTAATGTCCTATGTGTTCCTCAAAATTTCCATTAAACTTATCACAATCTGTATGATAGAGGGATGTTTGACAAACATCGGATCGCGAAGTTGAAGAAGGGAGTCTTGATCGTTAACAATGCTCGAGGAGCAATTATGGACACTCAGGCAGTTGCCGATGCTTGTTCAAGTGGACACATTGCAGGTATGTTCCTACATTTGAAATTCAACATGTTTTTGTTGACCTCCAAAATACAAGAAAAAATTAGAAAAATTAAACATACACTTCGTATCTGACACTCAAATCCTATATTTTTCGTGATTTTTCAGGTTACAGCGGAGATGTTTGGTTTCCACAACCAGCTCCAAAGGACCATCCATGGCGTTATATGCCAAATCAAGCAATGACTCCTCATATTTCTGGAACCACCATTGATGCTCAGGTATATGCCCTTTCTATGTTTTGCTCTCCGACTTAACATCCTTGCTTTTGCCAACAACTAAAACGAAAACGGAACTTGTGCAGTTGCGGTATGCTGCCGGAGTCAAGGATATGCTTGAGAGGTACTTCAAAGGTGAAGAATTTCCTGTACAACACTACATTGTCAAGGAAGGTGAACTCGCTCCTCAGTACCGATGATTTCGTCTTCTTTGTCGATGAAAGACTTCGAAGAATGTGTTCTGTTGACAGCCAGCTTAAATCCTTTTGAAATAATGTGTTACATAATCCAAAAGTTTGCTTTTCGGATCAAAGTCCTCTGCAAATAATGTGCCATCTGGTGCTTTGAACTTGATGTTTTCAATTCATGAACTAAGTTGTAATGAGTTATAGTACAAACAAGTGTTGACCACATTTATAATTGGTCAAATTAATAATAAACTTTATATAAAGATTTGAACCAAGGACCCATGATGTCCCTGAGAAAGTTTTTGCCACCAGGCCAAGTTATTTAATTGGTTTAAAATAACACAATGCTTTATATATTGTGTTTGAAGTTATTTCACACATACATATATAAATTATATTAAAAAAATAAAATTATAGAAAATAATTCATATAAAAACAAAATAAAAAATATTTTTATTTAAATAATAATATTGTGAGTTTAATAAATATTTATATCACAAAATAATTTATATAAAATTTTAAGATATATATTATTTAAAAAAATTCCCACCAATATAATTATTTAAATTTTTTGTGATTTAAATATTTATTAATCTCACAATATTATTATTTAAATAAAAATATTTAGCTTATTTTTATTTTTATATAAATTATTTTCTATAATTTATATATTATTATTTTAAAAATAATTATAGAAAATAATTTAAATAAAAATATTAAACTCATTTTTATTTTTAAGTACTATATTAACTATAATTTAATATATATATATATATATATGAAATATAATTTACTTTATTAGATTTATTTAAAAAATAATATATATATGTGTTGTTGTTGTGTAATTTTAAACCAATTAAATAGCTTAGTCTAGTGACAAAAGCTTGTCCTAGGGCATCATATGGTCTTTAGTTCAAATCCCCCAGCCCTTTATATTTTTCAAATGTTTTCCCTTTACACAGATGTGGCATCTCTGGATTAGAGTTGAATTTATTTAATTGAATTAAAACAGTGATTAAATTGATATAATATATAAATATTATGGACTGAATATATAATCATGTCAATTTGACTTAATTGCACGTCACTATGTCTGTTAAAAATTAATGGACAATATCTTAAATGAACCATTTAAATAGATGGATAGTCTGTTTGATCGTTTTCAAAAGTTGGTGGTTAAAATGATTTATGACTATAATTTGGTGGTTACCCGTGTAATTTACCTAGAATTAAATTACCTTTTATTGGAACCTAATTAATCTAATAATTTTATTATATCAATTTTTAAATTTTAAAATATTCTAATTGAATCCTCAAAGTATTTTTTTAGCTGACCCTTATTCCCATATGTAATGAGGTAAGGGGGAGGTAGGATTTCCCCCAACACCAGGTTGAGAACAGCTTCAGTAGGAATCTCAAAGTATCATTATCGTATTAATCAAGTTATTGTTCTAGTCGTTAACTTTAAGGGGGTGTTTGTTCAAGATTGTGGGATTCCCATGTTTGGTTGGCTGATAATCTCATTCCCGGTAATGTTTTATTACCAATAGTAGATTTTTTTGGTATATTACCGGGAATGTCATTACCTCCCTTCTCTTAGGTATTGTAACATTACCGGCGTTTTGGACTAAAATGCCCTTAAATTTTTATTTTTTTCAAAAATATCATTCTTCTGTCATTGAATAATAAAAATTCTATGAAGGTTAAATTACAAATTTATCCTTAAATTATTTTAGATTTACAAAAAAAAGTCTATAATTAAAATTTTATATGAAATTCAGGGGTTAAATTTTTTTTACCCTTTCATTAAACCTTTTTTATATTTTTAATTTTGTAAAAAATTATATAAATATTATGAATTTAATTTTTTAAAGAAAATATATAAATATTTTACAATTTGTAATATTATACAAATATATAATGAGGACAATTTGGTCAAATATACATTCCAATAATCTTTTATTCCTTTAACCAAACACAATAATCTTACATTCCTGCTAAACCAACCAAACACAAAATACAACATTCTCAGTAATCCTATTCCCTGGTAATCTTTTATTCCCACTAGTAATCTTACATTTCGTGAACCAAATGCACCCTAACGTTAAATATTAGTGACAGGAAGGGAACAGGGTAGTTGACAACATGGCAAAGTTGATGCAAAATGATGAGTTCACTAGAATAATCTTTCAAATGACCCCAGAGATAATACGTTCCAGATTCTAAGAAGACAAACTTAACATGAAAATCGGTAATTATTTAGAGTTTTCTTTTGATATTTAGTTCGTTTTTTACCCAAAAAAAACATATGGTTCAAATTTTGAGTTCACCACATTAATAGCTTAGATTTGACATATTAAAGAACATAATAGTCCTAAAATTTTAGGATATCAAATCCAAATTATTTTTAATTATTTTATTTTGATCATTCAATTATATTTTCAAAACTATAACTAAACTTAAGTTTTTGTTATGTTTTGATCACTATGATTTATTTTTTAAATTTAAAACATGTAAGAATATTTATATATTTTAAATTATTCCTTTATTTTTTTAATTAATTTTAAAATTAATTTTTAATGGTTCAGGTTTAAGGTTTAGGATTTAAGATTTATGGTATTAATTCATTTTGATTTATATATTAAAGGTAATCATGACCGTGGAAGAAAGTGAGAGAATGAGGGGTTTAGAAAACGAAATTTCATATCAAAGTCTAGGGAAAAAAAGACAATTCATTGCTATAAGTGGAAGGAGCCATGATATATGAAAAAAGTTTGTCCAAAGTGGAAAAAACATACTGATGAGAAACGTGATGAATCATCCAAGTCTGTGAATGTGGTGTAGGATGACAATACAGATTATAGTAATGGTGATATGTTTTCTATTTCAACAACTCAGTTGACAGATGCATGGATTCTTGATTCAGGATGCTCTTATCATATAACACCTAACAAGGAGTGGTTTTCGATATACATGTCAGTTAATTCTGGTTTTGTCTATTTAGGAGATGATAGATGTTGCAATATTGATGGTATTGGTGAAGTCAGAATTAAGATGTATGATGGTACTGTTAGGACATTATGTGATGTTAGGCATATACCAAATTTGAAAAAGAATCTAATTTCCTTAGGCACTTTGCATAAGAATGGTTTTATTCCTAAGGCAGATGAGAATAAGGAAACCATTAGAATTGTTAAAGGTGCATTGACTGTGATGAAAGGAAATATGACTACAAAGTATATCTATAAATTATTAGGGAGTACAGTTGTATGTGGAGTTGATTATGTTGAGTCATATGATGATAATACAAAAATATGGTATGTGCATCTTGCTCGTCTTAGTGAACGTGGAATGGTTGAATTGCATAAAAGAAATTTATTGCATGGTGGTAAAAACTGCATGCTCGATTTTTGTAAGTTTTGTGTTCTTGGTAAACAGACTAGAGTTAGTTTCACGACTGAAGAACAAAAAACTAAAGGGATTCTTGATTATGTGCATTCTGATGTATAGGGGTATACCAGAAAATCATCATTGGACGGATCTATGAATTATGTTACTTTTATTAACAAATTTTCTAGGAAAGTTTGGGTGTATTTCTTGAAACAGAAATCTAGAAGTTTTGCCAAATTCAAGCTGTGGAAAGTAGAGGTGGAAAACTAAACTGGTAGAAAGATCAAGTATTTGAGGACTGATAATGACATAAAGTACACTGATTCATAGGTTCTATAATTCTGTGAGGAGCATGGGATTCAAAGGCATTTTACAGTGCGCAAGACACCACAATAAAATGGTGTTGCAAAAAGGATGAACAAATCATTAAATGAAAAGGCAATATGCTTGAGACTAAATGCAGGGCTTCTGTAACACCCCCAACCCGTACCCGACCCGGATACGAGTTAGAGATATCACATTGACTTTTTAAAACAATTTTCTTACAAAATAACAAAACATTTTAACCCATATTAAGAAAATACAATAATATAATATTAAATTATGTTCGTTATAAAATTTTAAGGCAAAAACGTATTATGAACAATATTATACGGTATGAATTATACCGTGAACAATAATGAATAGTACCGTGAACAGTACCGAATGCTAAAATTTTTCCAAAATGCAAGAGGGGTATTGATACCCTGCTACAGTGTACCGATACCGATTGAGTCTATCCTACTCTCATTTGATTTGATCCTCTAGCGAAGAATGCCATTGATTCAAACCTTACTTGGGATCGAAATTCAAAATCCCTTCCTCTCTTGGATGGTGCATAACTTGATGAAGTCCCAATTTTTTTTAGACAGTTGGTCTCTTTGCTCCCCAAATTGTTCATTTTGAGCTCTCTCTAGAGCTTTAGCACGGTTTATCACCTCTTGAAACGAAGACAGATTTAACACGATTAACATTTCTTTGAGCTTGGGTACAAGCCCTCAGTAAACCACTCACATGCATCTTTTTCTGTATGCACCAATTCTGCTGCAAAGTGACTTAATTTGTTGAACTCACACTCATACACGGTGCGGTTCATTTGCTTCAGGTTTAGAAATTCTAGCTTTATTTGCTTGATAAATTGATCTCCTATATACTTGTACTTAAACTTTTCAAGAAACAGAGACCATGTTACTTGATCACTAGTCATTCTCATAGTAACATTAGTCCACCACATTCTCACTTGCCCACGAAGCAAAGAGACGATTCCGTCTACTTTCTCCACATCGGAACAGTAGAGTCCTTTTAACATGATCTTTACATCGTTGAGCCAAAGGTCTGTAGTAACAGGACCTTCATCGGCTTCACCTTTGAACTCTGGAGCTCCTAATCCCTTCAACTCTTTCGCAACATTCATTCTTAGAGTTGAAGTAGCAGGAGGTTGAAAACGTGTCAATACCACATCTAACGTTCTAAAGAACACATCTTGATCAGCTACAGGCACTCCAGAAGGTTCTTGTTCTTCACCTTGCCTGGCTAGGGCAGGTGAATTACTGCTTTTAGCGGGCCTGTCTTCTCCCGCTTCACTTCTAGAACTATTATGTCCGAACATCTATTAGGAATAAACATATCATTCTATTAGCAAAACACATACTCTTTACTATACTAGATCAGAAGTTTTCACTATTTTGTTGGCATGTATATATTATAAGACACTCTAGACTTCGATTTAAGCCTAGAATTGGCTAAACCG